TCAGGAAAAGAAACAAAGAAAACGAGCCTGGTTCGCAAACCGAGGCAAGAGCACAAAGAGGGTTCGAGTCCGGAGGCAAGGCTCACGGCCGCGACTCTGAAACTTCTGAACGAGCACAATATGCAACATCACCAAGCGCTCAATCAGTGACGTCTGAGTCTTAAGGTCGAACTTCTGAACGAGCACAATATGCAACATCACCAAGCGCTCAATCAGTGACGTCTGAGTCTTAAGGTCGGTCAAAAATGGGGTTGTCTACAGTTGCCCCTCTTTGACAGAACTCGAAAGTCACAAGTGACGGGAGTGAATGTCAAAGCCCAGAGACGACCCATTTTTGACAAGGCCGAAGACTTAGACAAACGTACAAGATAAACGGAGATGCGCCCGCAGGCATGCCCGCAGGCAGGGGCAAAATGCAAATGATATGCAAGAAGCCGAACATAATTCAATGATCATGCAAATGCAGCAAGCTGTAATGAAGCAAGTATTCGCAAATAGATGCAACAGTTTTAAGCAAGAATGCAAAGCAACAACTACATTTCATGCAGTTAAGAATGCGAAGGATTATTCAATCCCCGCCACATCTCACACGGAGAAGATACGATACCTGTGTGATTCGTCTGGTCGCACCAGCCTCAATTGAACCGTACATACAATATCGTGCCTGCAAAAGAGAGAATTTGCAACAAGTACAATATGCTACCAACATATATTCAATGTGATTCTGGAAGTTTGACATACGCAGTGCCGGTGAGTGAATGCATCGCAATGTAAGAGTGGAACATGCGTGACAACGCATGCTCATGCATAGAGGTATGCCAATATCAAGAAATGTGCATAAAAATGAGAGTATGCTCATGAGAATGCAAGTTATGTGCATGATAGTACAAAACGAGCATAAATCAGGATGTTCATTTGTCATGAAATAACGAGTACGGAAACGCGTGTTTCGGCGAAGGCAACTCGATCACGGCCTCCGATCCGTTTCCCGGAAAGGCTACAACTCATTCAAAAAGGATACACTTCTATTTCGATGAATGATGATGAGACATATGTCAGAACTTGAAGCTGAAGTCCCGGCAGATCATTTCGCGACCGGAAGTGTACTTTTCTTGAACTTTTTCAGGTCCCGGGAACTCCGATCTTCCTCAAAATTTGCAGGGAACTAGGTGAGCCTGTGAGGGACATGGCCGGCCGGTTATGTGGGAAGGGGGAGGTGGCCAACCGGTTTTCCAAAAAGCAAATAGCTGGCCGGCCGGTTTTCCAAAAAGGAAATGGCTGGCCGGCTAGAAAAGGTGGCCGGCCGGCCATATGCCCAAATCTGAGGGCATTTTCGTCCTTTCACCTCCCTTTTCATGCTCCTTCATCCCATGACTTGGAGCCTATATAATGCAGCCGAGTTCTTCTCCTCTCTTGCCTCCTACAACACTTTCTTCTCCAGATCTGAGTTCCATACGCGTTTTCCAACGCCCCACGCAAGTTGTTTCCGCAAAAACATTCAGTTTCGAGCACTTTGGAGCGATTAAATTCGGTTCGGAGCTTCTTTTCTCATTTTCGCCACTTGAGGTGAGTTTGTCTCAATATTTGGAAGATTTTCTCGGGAGTTGACTTTTGTTGACTTTTTCATTTCCCGAGAGTTGACTTTTGTTGATTTTTTCCAATTTTGGCTCATTTTGCTCATTTTTGCTCCCCTTTTGCAGATTCTTGAAAATGGCGGGCAATTCTCCCCATGGTGGAGGTTTTCCAGGTGCCGAAGATGATTTCGATCCTATGACTCTACCCCCGAGGACTCGACCTTTTATTCCCGGGAGGTACAATCCGCCAGCACATGTCCTCCCTCATGCTGTCTTCCGTCACTTTACTGATTTTGATGAGCGAGCACCTGGGGATCTGCTTCTCCGAGAGCCAGAGCATCACCTCTCTCATGAGGCCCGAGAGGTATTTACTTCGTTTTCTGCATTTTTCGTACATTTCGCACCTTTTCCATGCTTGAACACGCAGTTTAGCTTTGACATAGTACTTTGCTTCCATCCTGAACACGTAGTTTAAACATTCAAATTTGTGAACACTTGGCTCATTAATTAATTGCGAACGCACGGTACACATTAGTTTAGAGGTGAACACACAGCTCAAACACTGATTTGTCGAACACACAGCCCGAATTCGAAAGTGAACACACAGCCCATACTTTAAATTTTCTGAACACACAGCCCAGATTAGAATAGTGAACACGCAGCCCACACTGATTGAAAGTTGAACACGCAGCCCAAACTTTACATTTTCTGAACACGCAGCCCAGATTAGAATAGTGAACACGCAGCCCACACTGATTGAAAGTCGAACACGCAGCCCAAACTTGAAATTTTCTGAACACGCAGCCCAGATTAGAATAGTGAACACGCAGCCCACACTGATCGAAAGTTGAACACGCAGCCCGAACTTTACATTTTCTGAACACGCAGCCCAGATTAGAATAGTGAACACGCAGCCCACACTAACTGAAAGTTGAACACGCAGCCCAAACTTCATATTTTCTGAACACGCAGCCCAGATTAGATAGTGAACACGCAGCCCACAATTTAACTGAAAGTTGAACACGCAGCCCAAACTTCATATTTTCTGAACACGCAGCCCAGATTAGATAGTGAACACGCAGCCCACAATTTAACTGAAAGTTGAACACGCAGCCCAAACTTCATATTTTCTGAACACGCAGCCCAGATTAGATAGTGAACACGCAGCCCACAATTTAACTGAAAGTTGAACACGCAGCCCAAACTTCATATTTTCTGAACACGCAGCCCAGATTAGATAGTGAACACGCAGCCCACAATTTAACTGAAAGTTGAACACGCAGCCCAAACTTCATATTTTCTGAACACGCAGCCCAGATTAGATAGTGAACACGCAGCCCACAATTTAACTGAAAGTTGAACACGCAGCCCAAACTTCATATTTTCTGAACACGCAGCCCAGATTAGATAGTGAACACGCAGCCCACAATTTAACTGAAAGTTGAACACGCAGCCCAAACTTCATATTTTCTGAACACGCAGCCCAGATTAGATAGTGAACACGCAGCCCACAATTTAACTGAAAGTTGAACACGCAGCCCAAACTTCATATTTTCTGAACACGCAGCCCAGATTAGATAGTGAACACGCAGCCCACAATTTAACTGAAAGTTGAACACGCAGCCCAAACTTCATATTTTCTGAACACGCAGCCCAGATTAGATAGTGAACACGCAGCCCACAATTTAACTGAAAGTTGAACACGCAGCCCAAACTTCATATTTTCTGAACACGCAGCCCAGATTAGATAGTGAACACGCAGCCCACAATTTAACTGAAAGTTGAACACGCAGCCCAAACTTCATATTTTCTGAACACGCAGCCCAGATTAGATAGTGAACACGCAGCCCACAATTTAACTGAAAGTTGAACACGCAGCCCAAACTTCAAATTTTCTGAATACGCAGCCCAGATTAAAATTTGCATGTAGCTTATTTCACTTCATCGGCATACAGCCCAATTCATCTCATTGGCACACAGCCCAGTTCAATCTCATTGGCACACAGCCCATTCATTCCATTGGCGCACAGCCCAGTTCATTTCATTGGCGCACAGCCCATTCATTCCATTGGCACACAGCCCATTCATTTCATTGGCGCACAGTCCATTCATTTCATTGGCGCACAGCCCATTTATTTCTTTGGCGCACAGCCCATTCATTTCATTGGCGCACAGCCCATTCATTTCATTGGTGACACATGTATTCATTCTGAATGCAGGTTGGTTCCCGCAGTGTGCGGGGGTATGGTTCCACCATCGCGCGGGACTGGTATGCCGAGCTCCCAGAGGCCGTCTGAGATTTGGTAGATTTGGCAGGATTCGGGCCTTTCTGCGTCGGGTTGTCACGTTGTCCTGCCAGGAGGACACTGATGGCAGCCTTGGTAGAGAGATGGTGGGACACCACCAACTCCTTTCATTTCTCTGCTACCGGGGATATGACCATGACCCCTTTTGACTTCGATGTATTGACCGGCCTTGACATCGGAGGTTGGTCCATCCCCTACGATGAGGATATGGGCGAGTGGGAGGCCGCCTGGATGTATCTATTGGGGGCTCGCCCACCTGTTGACAGGGTCTCTGGGAGAGTCCGATACACTTGGTTCTCTTCCCATTTCCGGCGGGCGGAGATGGTGCCTGAGACTCCTGAGGAGACAGAGCAGTATGCCCGTGGTTTCCTGATGTTCCTCTTCGGGACTACCCTGTTCGCCGTAGAGGGAACACAGTCGGGCTATACCTGCTGAGCGCTCTGGTTGACTTATCACAGGTCAGTCGATATGACTGGAGTGGCGCCGGCCTGGCTACCCTTTACTTTTATATGAGCGCGACCTCCCGCGGGCGGGGAGATTTACTTGGCGGCTACTGGAGAGCTTGGAAGGTACTTTTCTGTCCCCTTGATTTACATTTCTGCTCTTCATTACTTGTACATTGCACGCACAGCACACTTTTACAGTCTGTATTTTGCTCTCAGTATTTCGTACTTACATTCTGCACTGCTTTTCTCAGCTATGGGTCTATGTATACTTCCCAGCATTAGCCCCAGAGTTGGAGGTGGCAGGGCCCCCCATGACCCCATATTCACTAGTGTTTGAGGGCCCGCACCGGCCGAGACCCCGAGAGACCCTCATTTACTTGCAACAGTATTTTGACACTGTGCGGCAGTCGGAGGTACTTCAGAACTTTCAGTTCCTTTCATTTTCATCTTTGATTTGCTCTGTATATTCCCGATTTCTGATTGGTTTATGCATTTATCATCCGCAGATCTCATGGCAGCCTTGGGCGCCCCTGGGTGATGGTCTCCGACTTCAGTATACTGGAGGGTCGGACACCTCCCAGTATAGGGTCCTGCTCGAAGGCCCGGTTGGCAGGGCATGGTTCCTGGGGGAACGCTTTCTGCGTCAGGTATGGGGGTATCTTTCTCAGGATCCTCCCGCATTACCCCCAGTCAGTATGCAGACTGCTGACAGGCTCTCTTTCTCGGAGGTAGTCGGCGCTATGCTGGGTAGCGATGCTTTACTATATCTCGAGGAGGGGGATTACGGCACTTACCGTCATACATATTTGATGCCTCCATTGACGGGAGCTCGTACCCCGATGACGAGGCCTGCTGGTATGTCATCCTCGGGCCAGGCCCGGGCTCGGGCTGCAGACGCCCCTTCCACCAGCGGGGCTGGGGCATCTAGAGGTGGGGGTAGACCGGTTCCTCCGATTCCGTCGACTTATCCTCATCTTGGATGGCCAGATATGCCAACTGAGTTGATGGCGTGGCAGTATGGGGCTATCTCTCCGACCCCAATCCCGCTAGAGCCTTCGATGCCCAGTGATCGATACGCCATTGATCCTGACTCACCGCTGGTATGCTCCACTGTTTTTCATTCATCATTCAGATGTTTAGACATTCTTTCATTCACTGATGATTATGAGCTCATATTTGCAGCCACCGCGAGGGTACATGGAGGAGGTGGTTGGACTGGTGGCCACACTCGAGGGCATGGTCCTGCGTAGGGAGGCACAGTTGTCTGTCGCGGGCATTCAGGTACCCTTCAGTTTTCTGGCATTTATCATACTTCTGATGACATGCTGATTTCTACTGCATCGATAGACCACTGGTGTAGAGCACATCTGACACATACCCCACTTGTACACTGCATTTACATGCACCCACTTCACGTAGCCTTTGCTTGTATCTGCATCTGATGTATATATTTGGACTGATGTATTTGAATTGAACTCTTTGTTTTCAGATGCCTTCATGGTCCGGTCAGCCGCAGGCCAGGCCACCCGGGCCTCCTTGGGGAGCTGGGCCATCTGGACCTTTTTAGGGAGTTGGGTCACCCGGGCCTTTTCAGGGGGCGGGGCCATCCCGGCCTTCCCGAGGAGCCGGGCCATCTAGACCTTTTCGAGGAGCTCGAGGAGGGCCCGTCCGCAGACACAGGGCTCACGTTGTAGAGGCGGAGCCTGATGAGGAGGAGGAGGATGTTGAGGAGGAGGAGGAGCAGACAGGATAAACAGAGATACGCCCGCAGGCATGGGGCAAAATGCGAATGATATGCAAGAAGCCGAAGGTAACCCAATGATCATGCAAATGCAGCAAGCTGTAATGAAGCAAGTATTCGCAAATAGATGCAACAGTTTTAAGCAAGAATGCAAAGCAACAACTACATTTCATGCAGTTAAGAATGCGGAGAATTATTCAATCCTCGCCACGTCTCACATGGAAAAGATACGATACCTGCGCGATTCGTCTGGTCGCACCAGCCTCAATTGAACCGTACATACAATATCGTGCCTGCAAAAGAGAGAAATTGCAACAAGCACAATATGCTAACCAGTTAGGGCCGGAGCTTGAAACAAAAAGCAAGTG